AATTTACATTCTAGGTTTTTCCATCTACGAGCTATGTTGTCACTGTGAAAGAAGAACTTGTTTCTAAAGGGAGACACCTGCCCAGACTACTTACAGGGGCCAGATTTTCTGACTTGTCCCCCTGAGCAAGCCCAGAGGCAGCTCCAGCCCTTGCAAGAGTTCTGTTAGGCAAACACAGCTTGCCCGGGGCAGAGCTGCTTTGGCAAACTCACTCTTCTCCTGCAAGATCCAAAAAGAAAGCCTCAACTCCTTTGCCAAAGTGCTGTCAACCCTCCTTCCACAGGAAGGCTCCTCTCAGATGCATAGGCTGGGCTCCACCGTGCCAGTGACTCTGGCTGGATGAACACCCTTAAAATGCCGCTACAGAGGCACGCGGTGCCAGCCGGGGACGGCATATGACACAATCCTTGGAAGAGGCACGGTTGACTCGAGTTGGGGTTATTGATTTGTTTTGTTTTTCTCTCTCCAGTCATAAAGCCCTTCCTCTCTCTTTCATCACATCAGTTGATCGATCTTCGTTCAAGAACAAAAAGCTTCTATAAAGTCACACTTTTAAATGATTTATTCATTTTTAACTTAAATTTTAACTTCTTATAGGAAAATACATCTTTAATTTCACAAACTAAAAACCCCTATAGAACACCCACACAGATCAAGAAACAGCCCCCCCCCCCCACCGTCAACACCCCAGGAGCCCCTGCCGTTCATTCTAAGGTCTCTATCTCATGTTTGAGGGCAATCACTATAACATGAGGCCACATTTTAAATCCACTTGTGGCCAAAGAATTTACTATAGGAGCTAAATTTGGGTGTGTGTTTTTAATTTGCAATTTGTAAATATTTCTTCATTTTAATTAGACTTAATTTGAGAGGGGAAGTTTCCATTGTTTTCAAGTGTTCTGTAAAATTATTTGAAGCCAGTCATTCTTGATACAATACCTTCGTCTTTGCCATCAACTCAGATGCCCCATGGCACACACAGCTGTCTTCAGAAGTAGCGGTTGGAAAGAATTCTGTTTCTGTCCACCACCACCTGGTGGGTACATTTCCTGTTACATCGTGTAGCTAATATCTGACCCAAGGAATGTGCCCCCATCAAAAATAGGTTACAAACAAAAGTAAGAAAAATAAAAGTGCTCCGCCCTTTCTTTCCATCCCAGTTACTTCTCAGCACCCTTAGCCACAGCAATGCCAAGGATTCCACGAACTTCAAGTTTCTAGCACAGGTCAAGTTCTAGACGCTCTTGGCAATGGACTTGGAAGCTGCAGACCCTGCACAAAGGCACTGAAATATGTGATCATTGTGGAGAGGTGTCCATGACTGTCCACGCTTTTAAGTCACTCTGTGGTTAATTTCTCCATTAAACTCTGTCATTTTCTCTGACTGCTGAGCCACACCACCGCTGCCCATCCGTCAGCTACTTTCTGAAGTGTGTCGCTGTTGTCTTGCTGTGGACTTAGCCAATTTATTTACACCTGTCGCGTGCTTCTGCCTCATCTGCATTGTCACTGTGATGGTATTTTTTCTTTCTGTCTGTTTCTTCCACAGGAGTTTAACCAGTAACCTACCCAATGTGAACCTACCCAATGTGAACCTTCCCAAAGTACCAAATCTACCAGTTAACATCCCTCTAGGCATCCCACAAATGCCTACTTTTTCGGCACCGTCATGGATGGCTGCTATATATGATGCTGAGTGTGTATTCAGTTCACATTAGATCTAATTTAAATTTAAGTGATCTTGGCATGGATATGTCTTGTTTATTTCTATACATCCCATATAACAGAGATGGAGAGGGATAATTAGACATATTTTGCTGATCATACAGAGACGATATTGTTTATTTCTGGCATGTGGCGTGTTTGTAAGATGTTTGCTATATATACAGCACTAACAATTTTTCTTACGCCCACTGAATGCTTGAGGACTATGTTTCACTTCCTGAATTCTTTTGCAAAAAGATCCTGCCCATATTTTGTTGTTTTGTTTTATTTTTAATACAGGTCGCATGGCTTTAGGAGTTATTCATCCAGAAATAGTCCAGGAAAACTCTTTCATGGGCTGACCCATCGTCTCTGGCCTGATCCAAATTTAAGAGGGAAGCACACCTACCTGAAGCTTTCTTTTTAAAAAATAATAATAATAATAAATAATTCCCAGAGACTTTTTAAACCAGAAAGTGTGTTTCTGGTGTCAGCAAAAGGCAAGCTATAGTAGCAGGATGTTGAGGGCTAAATGAAAATTTCTGAATGGATCGAGCCCCAGTCATGTACGTAACAACACTTTCCAAGGTCATCGTGTAGCACTGAGCGCTGAGACCTAGGTAGCAAAGTCTCTAAATGGGAGACTGCAAGACTGAAAAAACAAATAATGAAGCTTTTTGGTAGCGGTATCCCCTGTGGTCTGAGTGTAGAAACTCTTTACCAAATGCCGGGCCACGCGGGGTTCGTTTTCTTGGAGGCCGAGCCATCCCTTTCATGCCAGCCAGCAGGTCAGGGGAATGGAGGCTGAGCCGCCATTTGTCCCAAGGCTTTGGAAATGAATCCTCTCTTTCCTCAGCAAGAAGAAGATCCAGCACCTCTAAATTCCACCTCAGGGAAATGAAATGAGAACCACGTGCATGATTTAATAAGTGAAATAAGGCTTCGCGATTTTGTGCCCCCTTTGATCCTTTTCTTAGACCACAGCTAATTATAGGCCAGATAAGCTTTTTCTTGAAAGAATAAATTGGCACGTTTTCAAAGGGAAGTGTTATTATCAAAGGAATAAAAAATGATCTGAAACTGGCAGTGAGTTTTGAAACCTCGAAATCACATCCGTCAAGATGGCCCGGGACATTTCCATTGCTCTGTGATGCAGGTAGAGCACAGCATCTGAAAACCACTGCTCTACTGGGCTCCTCCAATGCTGCCCATATTTTTTAAAAAAACTGAGCTTGTTCACAAGTTCACAATGAAATCACAGGGTCAGTGTGTCTGTTTCTCTTTTAAAGATGAATCACAATCTCTAAAAATTTATATCTGAAAAAATCTAAAAAAAAATTCACATAAGTCATATTCATGCTAAGATGACTATATTAAAAGTTAGATTAGGTATTATCTGTTAATAATTAAAAATAAATATTTGAAAGCTTTTTACCTTCTTCTCTGCATGCTCTGTGACATTGTTTTTGAAAAGATATGAATCAAGACATTGTAATAAAGCAGATAATGGTCTCTGTCGATTAATTAAGGCATGAGTGGGAACACATTTTGGTAACTGCTCAGCAATCAAAATAATCTTGGTGCTATTGCCTTAACATTAACAGTTTATCTTAAAAATAAAAAGAAAATATTCTTTTCCTCATGTCAAAACTTAATAATAAGCTCTTCAAAGAAAAAGAAAAAAACCCTAGAAGAATTTTTTGAAACTCTGAAACCAGATGGGTGTCAAAATGTTGTTGTAATAAATACCAATTATTGCATTCATATGTACTTAATGATTTAAAACATACAACCATGCAGTTCCAAAACGGGGTTTAGACTAGACAAAGTTGGGGTTTCTTTTTCCCAAGCCTAGGATGGGGGAAGGGGGAAGGCTGAACCTCCACGGAGAAACGAAGCGTCCCCCCACTTTGGAGCAATGCGTATGGCAGTATCTGAAAAGAAGGCCTAGCTTCTCAATCGCCCACCAGGAAATGCCTGATTCTATATCTTTTCATAATTCCAGTTTCCTCCTTTGCCACCTTTCATTTAAAGGTCGTGTCTCCATGTTACCTGCTCCTCCGTGTCAGATACGTCTACGTACTGACCTCAGACTGGTCTGTCCTTGAAAACATGTCCCTGTTGGTCGAGGCCGTAGGCTCCCTCTTGGCATGTTGGGAGCACCCCCCCCCCACCCGCAGTAGCTGTGTATGCATTTATGCACTAGCTATATTTCTCTCTGAAGCATTAATTCAATGCAGCTGGCATCTGTCACAATAGAAACACCCACTCTCATCTGTTTCTATAGACGATGTCAGAACAAGTGGTAATGCATGGTGTGTTGGACATTTTATAAATTACTGTGTTAGCATTAGTGGTATGCGAGGAAGGGGGTGGGAGGTGGCCACCCCTCAGAGCTCCAAATGGGGTTGTTACAAAAGAGAAAGCCAGCCAGAGAAGGGCGAGAGGGTGAGAGATGGAGCGTTTCCCCTACACAGGCTTTCCGTGGAGGCCCCAGGTAAAAGTTTCTTACACATCATTGTACAGAAAGGAATCAGGACCAATTCCTCCATCTGGACTGGGTAAGATGGTGCAATGGTTTTGAAAAAAAAAACACAAACAAGCTTTGCAAATATCTCTTGTCCACTCACCTCCCCACCCCCAACCTCCTCCTGGGGCTGCCTATGCAACGGGCTGGTCTATTGGAATAATGACCAATCTGAACAGACGCATGGATTCAAGGTATCCAGGTGGACTCATCTCCATTTGAGTCACCCCAACTTCTCTCCAGCTCTTCAAGAGAGAAAGCAGGTCCTCGCTCACCACTTTGTTAGCACTGTCCCTTTAAAACTCCAAGTCTGTGCAGTCTCCAAGAGGCCTCCATCTGGAGGGGAGCTGGGGAAATGCATGAAGCCCGAATTTTAATAACTGCATGTTGCCATGTAGTTATTATTTGTTGAGACTTACTTCCCCCTCTGGTTCGTGGCCTTCATCTGAATCATCACATGTGTTAATGTGGTTATTAAAAGAAGGCTGATTTTTACCATACACTGTTCTCCTGGCCGTGATGGGGCAATATGTCCCTCAGACTTCTCACTGGTCTGAATAATTGGCTGAACAAAGCCGCCTAGGTCATGTATGGTAAAACTCAAAATCTGCCGGTGGAGAATGCCCCCACCTCCACCGCCAACACGCGTCGTTTTGTATGTTGAAGCTACTGTTTGCCTCGAGCCTTCTAGTCCCAGTTGTCTATGTGTCAGCTTTTCAGAGCCCAAGGCCAGTGGGTGACTCTTGGTTTTTTGTTTTTACCCTGCCAGCAACGGATCAGGCACCTCGGAGGATCTGTTCTGGAAGCTCGATGCCCTTCAGACCTTCATTCGGGACTTACACTGGCCCGAGGAAGAGTTTGGGAAGCACCTGGAGCAACGGCTGAAGCTGATGGCAAGTGACATGATAGAATCTTGTGTCAAAAGGTAAGCCCGGCGCCTGGGCGGTCTCTGCACGCCTTTCCCACCACACACTGGCCCAGGGCAGGGCTGATTGGCCATAACTTGGAGTCTTTTTGAGAAAGTGACTGCTTATCAAAGTCCGTTGGAGTGGTAGCCACCCGAGTCCAGCTTCTGTTCACCTGCCCCAAGCAAACGACGTGGCTGTTATTTCACTGAGCTCCATAGGAAAGGCTCAATGTCGGTTCTTGTTTGTATCTCTGACATCTAGCAGCATCTGGCACAAAATACTTAGTAAACGTATTTTAGATGTAGGAGTGTATGCATGGTGGGCAGTTAGATGGAAATCAGAGAAGCACATCCAATTCCTGAACCAGCGAATCCAGTGCAGGAGCAGGAATCTAGGGAATTTCCAGCCATGTGGGCAGGAACTGAGCAGCATCATTCATTCTGTACATGGGAACCGAGCCTGTACGACCTGCCGGCTATTAGATGTCCTGTGCAAAATCTAACTAGATATCACCAAGAGGGCATGTTGCCTGCTTTGTCCCCGTGGGATATGGGATTGAGGTGGGAAGGCTGCACTTGCAGTCCCCAGGTGACTGTTCTGCAGGCAAGGAGAAGAAAAGGAGAACAGCGTGCATCCTTTCTCCAGGAATTGTTTGAGCTCCTCCTCTCCGCAGGCACAGGACTGCGTTCCCAGTGTACCAAGGACTGCACCCTTCCTTCATGGAGTGTCTGTCTCCACACAGCCTCAGATGTGACACCATTATCATCACCCTGTCTATCCCCAGACACATGTCCAAGTGCTTCTGCCAGTTCCCAACAATTCCATTATTATTCCTCATTTTAAAAAAAAAGACCGCAAGCATCACAGGCCACTTGGCTTTCCAGATGTTGTGTAGTTTAGTTGATGGACCAGCTGTGGGAGTCAGGGACTGGGTTTGGCTGGGAGTGCTCTGAGTTCATCGTGTTATATCTTGGAAAAAGAAAAGGGATGTAATAGCATCAAAACTGGAACCAAAAGGCAAAAATGACAGAGTCACAGGTAGGTGAGCTTCTTGGCAGGAATTAGAGAAAGAGCAACGCGCTATGGAGAATCCTCAGGAACTTAAGTCCCAGTGACCCAGATCCTGCGCTTTGTCCTTTTCTTCCCGCTCTTGGAATCAAAGGCAGGCCTATGTCTCAACCCCAAGGTCAAAATGTTTCCTTAGGGTTTTGACTCTCACCATCTCCTACAGAGTCTGTCTCAATTTTAGGAAAAGCCAATCTTCTCCTATGGCTAAACCATTTCACACAGAAACTGCTTGTCAAAGTGGCTCCTCTGGCAAAACGCTCCCTGGGACTGTAATGCATTAGAATGAAGGCCCACTCGCTTCTGAGCTGTGCACGCGGTTGTACAGAAAGACACGCGTGCCCTTCTCTGGAGAGCCAGTCTTTTGAATAGATAATAAGTAATAGGAGATGACATCTAGGTGGGCTAGGGGTCAGCCACTCAAGAGTGTGAGCTCCTCAGAGGCAGGCGGCGTATCTCGTTCATTTTGAGTTCCTCGCCCGTCCCAGGTCCCAGCATCATGCTTGACACATGGTAGCTGTTAAGTAACTGTTTATTACTAGGAGTTGGTCACCTGCACATGTACTCCTGACCCTGGTGTCCCTTCCAGTTAAGGCCCCAGTCTAAGCACAAACCAGACAAGAGCAAACATGAGTGGAAATATCATCCCCAGACAGCCAGAGTCAGAGGGTAAGACATGAAACAGTCCGTGGGTGTTTTAAGACATGGAGCCCACATTTGTAGAGCCTAGAACCTTTGCTTTACTGTTTGGGACAGAATAAAGGGCCCCTGTTCTAGGATAACAGAGTAAGGACATGATTTCATGGATGTAAATATGCGACACCAAAGTCAATCGGTACTCCTCATTGCCAAGTTTCTAAGAAATTGAAATAACTTATTTGATGATATCATCCACTTAGTGAACCTGACAGAGCCTCTAGTCTAGTCTACATCAGGCGCTGTGCTCCACACAAAACATGGCGCCCTAACTCTGGCCTCAAAAAGCATCAGCTGGATTAAATGACCTCTCCATTCCTGCCTTTTGGCCCCATAGAGCCCTCTTGGTCATATTAATTTTGCATTCGGCTCCCTGTTTTCACAGCCCCATGCTCTAAGGGCTATGAGCAGCTCTCCTGTGAAAGCAGATGATTACTGCATTCATTGTAAGGAATCAATTTAGCATTTCCCTGTCTCAAGTTGGGCCGGGACTGGCCAGTGAGCCTGAGAAGATCAGCACAGGGACCTGTCCAACTCAGTCCCCATCAGGCCTCCTTTGCACAAAACCAGAACGTGATGTATTTGCAGCGTAGCTTAAAATGATCATCGTGATCAGAAAGCTACATCAGTGCACCGAGTCCTCAGAAGCCAAGATACATTTATCTTTAACATGATCATATAATATATAGGAGTGTTTGAAGGCATTTTTTTAGTAGTTTGCTTAAGAGCTGGGCTTCCAACCTTAGAAATTATACTTGGCTTCCCTCATGCACCCAGGGTGTGTTAGCAAGCTGGCACCCTCTCCGAGCTAGCTAGCTGTGTGGTCCTCTCTGCACTGTTAGGAAACTGCTACAAATGCCTCTTAAAGCGATGCCTTCCTGGGGGCTGCGCGATCTCCAGAACCTGACCGGGCACAATGCTGAAAAGATGCCTTCGACAAAGGACCTTTAGTAAAACCACTTACTAACCAGGTGCTTTTCTCTAAAGACATGTGATGAGGATGTGACCCGCGTCTCTGAAACCTTTCAAACCATAACTGGGCCCCTCTACAGGCTGATATCAGGGATTAAATCTCACACCTGTAGCACCAGCTGGCCAGGTCGAACCGAGCTTTACCGGGAGCAGTTAGCACATTGCTGGGATCATAGTTTGACCTAAGTCAGAATGATGTCACAGTAAATCTCCACCATTACACAAGTCTTGAAGTGGGAAGTATGGCATGACATTTTTACTTATAAGTATAATGTGTTCTTTATTGCAAAATAAAGCATTGACATGGCAATGCAAACAAACAAGCAAGCATAGTGGAAGTCCCCCCTTACCACCTCTCCTAATTTCACTCTCCTCCGAAAAGGTAGTCATCTCATTTTTTAGTCTTTAAAGCAATCTAATAAGCTTGTTGTTGTTGTTTTTAATTTCAGTCTCTTTCAAAGCCAGGATAAAATTAATAAATAAATAAAACAATAAATGTCATTTAAGATTTTTTTTCCCACCAAGAGATTGTGAAGATTAGAAACTGCTTTTTTATTTTTTTTTTTTTGCGGGGAGGGGGGTGGTTTTTTTAAATGAAGGGATTCAAGGTAGGTAGTTGCCAGTGTGAGAGGACTTACATGTGCTGTAATTGGGTTTTTGTTCATTCATTCATTCTCCTGCAATTAGAGTTCTCCATAGCATGTGAGCGACAGACAGAAATACGCCGAGCTACAGGTGTTCCATGCACTGCCGAGAAAGAAGGGTGTGCGTGGCTGTCTCCCTGAATAGGCCTTCCTGAGCTGGGAAAGTCATTTTTAAAAGAACACATGTGAAGTCATTGTCGATTGAAACTGATTACAGCCTTCAATTTTCTTTTCCACTGACCTCTCAGAAAATCTCTCCTCCTCCCGCTGCCATCTGAATGCTGAATTGGTCTTTTCCTACTTTGTTTTAATAGAACCAGGATTGCATTTGAAGTGAAGCTGCAAAAAACCAGTCGATCAACAGATTTTCGAGTCCCACAGTCAATATGCACCATGTTTAATGTTATGGTTGATGCCAAAGCTCAATCAACAAAACTTTGCAGCATGGAAATGGGCCAAGAGGTAAAAATATATATATATATATAGATCTCTCCTCCCTTACAGCCCCCCTCCCACCATTGATCACGTAGAAGAAAACTTCACAAATTCCTTCCATCTACACTAGTCTGCTAACTTCAGAAATATACTCTAACATTTGTAGATTAAGCCGCAGATGAATGTTTGGTGTCCGTTTGTTAAGTAAATGTCTAAGGCTTGTGCTAATGGGCATGCCGGTCACTTGGTCGTGATTCTTGGCTGGCGTTGGAGTGGCCGTTAAGTTCCTCTAAGTCCAATGATGTTTGATGATCTTATTTATTAGGCTGGTATCTCCAACAGATGTTTGCCAGAATGCAAGTCGTTTTCACATTTGAAGTGCATTGTATCACTTTGAACATCTGGACGGCAGGAGAGCTCTCTTTTTCGAATCTAGCATCTTCCAGGATCTATAATGTTGGCTCACCCTGCTACCCAGTCGCCAGCAGCAGGTTCTGAATTTTTAAGAAATCGCAGACTTTAATTTTCCTGAGATGGATTGTGCATCTTCCCTGACCAAAAGTTTAGTCCTTTGCTAAGTTTCCAGCTCCAAAGTGGTATTTAAAATGTAAAGGAGGAAGCAACAGCAACTCGGGCTTGATTAAAGACCATCGTGATCATTTTCCTCTGATGGCCTTACGCCAGCGAGATATTCATATACCAATTTAGAATTAATGCAAAAACATTTCTGGCAACTCTCGTGTTGTTGCCAATTGGCATAAATTGCTCCTAAATCAGATCTTTCGATACCAGCCCTACATGCTCAGAATTTTTTACTAAATTATATTTGCTCCTTATTCGTTATTTATTTTCTCTTTCGGCACCTTCCATTTTTAAATGTGGGTTGGTGGTATTCTCTTCCTGGCAAGATCATCTTTAAGCTTCTTTCCCCCCGACCAGCTTCCTCCGCCACGTTTGTGAATTTCTGGTCGGGGACCTTCCCGGGGTTATGGTCTAGGCTTTGGGTCACATGCAAGGGGTTCTCTCTGCCGGTTCCCTTTGCTGCAGGTGAGCAATCTGGAGCAGCAGATCTAACTTCAGTGCATCAGGCTAATCAGAGAGCTTCCCAAGCCCAGATTGTTGGGTCTCACCCCAAGAGTTCCCAATAGGTCTGGGGTGTGGTCCAAGAGTTCGAATTTCTAACAAATCCCCTGGTGATACTGATGCCACTGGCTGGTCTGGAGACCACACCGTAAGAACCACTGGTCTGGAGGTTCAGTGTCCAAACCTGAGTGGAGAAGGGCTCAGGCAGGAAGTCAGTGTCCTGGGGAAGGCTCCGGCTGGGGACAGCCTCCTGGTTGGGGGTCTCACCCGGGCTGTGCTGCCCACCAGAGCTGGTCGAGTGGCTCAGCCTCGTTGGGCCCCGGTTTCTTCATCTGTAAAATGATAGCACTATTCTAGTTCTATTCAGGCTGCTTTTAGCTGCAGAATCAGTTCTTCAGACCTTACTGGAAAAAAAAGGGAGGGGCAGCATGTGAAATGAATAAAATTTCTGGATGCAGTGGGGGCATCACCCACTCACATTTCTCTGGGCGACTCTGAACCATCTCTTGGGCTTCACAGAGCCCACTTAAAAAAACCTGACTTGGATGGTCTCTAAGAATCGTGAGTGACTTCCAGAATCCTTCTCCCCCTGAATTTTTCTCTCTTTGGAGCTTTATTTTTTTAAAATGAGATATAATTCACATACCATAAAATGCGCTCTTAAAGTATACAATTCAGTAGCATTTAGTATATTCACAAAATTGTGCAACCATCACCACAATCAGTTGCAGGACATTCTTATCACCCTAAAAAGAAACCTGGACCCATTAGTATCATTCCCCAACCCTCCCTCCCCAGCCCCAGGTAACCGGCACTCTACTTCTGTTAATAAGGACTTGCCTATTTGAGCATTTCATATCAATGGAATATACTAACATGTGGCATTTGTGCCTTCTTTCACCTGGCATAATGTTAAGATTGATACATGTTGTTCCAGGAAATTTATGGAGCCATTTCCCAGGAAATAATACTTTCACGTACAATTTCAAGGGACCCGGGAAGTTTGTCAGGCCAAACTAAAGACCCCGTTGGAAATATGTGATAGGAAATAAGTCCTCTGAGGGACCTTGCTCTATGGCTGTGACCTTGAGTAGAACTTCAGTGAGAAGTCTCGTGCAAATGGTCCCTCGTCAACTCTTCCCATCTTCTAGAATGGGGACATTTATCTCCAAAGTAAAACTGATCAGTTAGAACGACATTGGCCAAAGGTGATGACTGGGAACATCCTGAAATTGGGAGAATAGATGAAAGTTTAATTTTTTTTTGAGTTTTCACTTTGTGAGTATCTGATATTGAACTCCTATTAGAGATCTAGTTACCGCTGCCTGTTTCCACCTGGATTCCAATGCCCTCAAGGAGTTTTAGAATAGATTCTCCAGTTTTAAGTCACTTCTTGAATTTCATCACTGGGGTAAAGTAGCATCTAAAGGCAGCTGTTGAAACATTTGTTAACCATACTTTTCCATCTTAAATATTTATTTTTTCATTAAAATTTGCAAAGCACCAATAGAGAGGAAATTGTATATTAAATACTTTCTCACTTGGTCTAGAGTGTTTTCATCTCATTTCCAAGGTCAGATGGTCTTAACAGAAAGACAACATACACACAATCTGTTCCATGACAAGGCAAAATGTGCAGCACTGGGAGTCAAGTGGAATGATTTTCCCAGTGTGATTGTGAATTTGCAGCAACTTAGCTCATTAGAAGCAAAAGTAAACTTCCCAAACTTTCCATGCCATTGAAGATCAGTAGTTCCCTTGCTATATCATGATCTAGGGCCCCAGAATATAATTTATTATTATTATTGTAATTATTATTATTAGTTATTATTATCAAGCCAATCCAAGAAGGCCAGCAGAAGGGACTGAAAAAATGCAAAAATAAGAAAGAGCGCTCTTTGTACCCAAATTGGATAGTTCATCTGACTGCAGAAAATGTTGTGATAAGATAATCTAGTGGGGGTGGGGAGGGATGGTAATTAAACAATACCTGGTAGTATTTATACTCCTTCCTGGAGCGTCACATCTGCATGGAACAGTTACTCTCCTGAGAAAGAGCAGAGTAAAGGCAGAGTACTCACTTTTGCTCCAGAAAAGTCAATCAAATAAATCTTGGAAGAAACTGATAAAAGAAATCCATGTATTTGGTAATTACTTGTATAAGAATGAAGGCTACTTAGATAAATACCCCTTTGCTACATAATAAGCAGAATAGATATTATCCTGCCCTACTATCCCTCCAAAGTGGGTTTTATTTCATTGAGATTATAATTGACATACAACAAAGTATGTAGGTTTTAGATGAGTTTAGAGAAATACACACATGTAACTACCATGCTAATCATTGGTTACGGCAGCAGTAATATTGCCTTGTAGCACTTCTAAGTTTCCAAACCATGTGCCCATGCATTGTTTCATTACTTTGTAGTGATTTCTATATTAACAACAGGGATAATTCTAGCCCCGTTGAGGAAATAGACTAACAGAAATGACATACTCAAGTTTCCTCTAGAAGTAAGAAGCAGGATAAGCATATCAAAACATTGTTATAGCCCTAGCTGGTTTGGCTCAGTGGATAGAGTGTTGGCCTGCAGACCGAAGGGTCCAGGGTTCGATTCCAGTCAAGGGCACATGCCCAGGTTGTGGGCTTGGTCCCCAGTGTGGGGCATTCAGGAGGCAGCCAATCAATGATTCTGTCTCATCATTGATGTTTCTATCTCTCTCTCCCTCTCCCTTTCTCTCTGAAATCAATAAAAATATATATATTTTTTTAAAACCCACTTTTTTATAAGCAGAATAAAAGAAATGTGGACAGGAGTGGTGATAATACTCATATATTCATAGATAGCGAAAGGGAGAGACAGTGGGAGTACCTGGGAGGAGTCAGGGCCAGCTTTGGCATGGAAAACATGAGAGCAAGGAGAGGTTCCCACAAACCACCGTGTCTCCATATACTTCCGCCTGGATTCCTTAGAGGAGGGAAGAGAAAGCTTGTCTGTCTTTCAGAAAAGACACTGTTAACTCCTCAGGACAGATCGTGCCTGGATCTTTCGTGAGTGATGCATAGGGAACATGCTCTTGGCTCTGCTTGCCATTTCGGCTAAGTTTTTTGAGAGAATGTTTCTGTTCTCAATGATGTTCTTTGCTTGTTTAGAAGCTTCTCATTTAATATTTCATGTTATATTGTTTTTGCCTACAGCTAACTTTTCTGAGTTAAATCTCATCATTAATGTCATAAATGTGAATCACTTATAGCGATCCAAAGAGAATCTAGAAAGCGCAGTCACGTGAGGGCAGGTGAGGGTGTGACTCAGGATCTTATCACAAGACCTAAAAATGAGTTGGGAGCCCTGTCAACATTCCTGGGGTCCTTTGTTCTGACATCTTTCTGTGTTTTAGCACAGAACCCTGCAGATAGTGTTTGCATTTAGCCCCAGATTCCTGCCACTTCCCAGTAAATTCTTTCGTGAAGTTAGCAGCAGAGCCAACGTGGGTTCTGTTTATCAGGACTGTGCAACACCGCCATTTGCTTTTTTCTCTCTCTCTCTAGTCAACTAAAAGGCAAGTAAAATGAGATGACTGAGCAATAAGACCATCTCCCCCTACCCTTGCTTTCTACTTTATGAATTTCAACAAATAATATTGGAATTGCAATTATAAGTTGACAAAATGTTTCCACATCTAGACCCTCAGTACATCTTCAAACTAGATCTATGATTCTGAGAGCAGGACTGCCAGGAAAAAAACTTGACTCTGATTTTTTAATAGCCCTGATTGGGTGGCACCTGGTTGGTGCATCGTTCTGTGCACCAAAAAGATTATAGGTTCAGTGCCAGGTCAGGGAACATACCTAGGTTGTAGGTTCAATCCCCAACCATCCCATGTGGGTTCATATCTGAGGCAAGCAATCAATGATTTTTCTCCTGATCTCTCTCTCTCTCCTGTCTTCTCTCTCTGGGATCAATAAAAACATATCCTTAAGTGAGGATAAATAAATAAATAAATAGTAATAATGAAACAGACCTGCTAAATATCTTTACACAGGGTGTGCCTCATTCCCATTACAAAATCATCAATAATTTATACTGGCTTCTCCCCTGTCCCATTGATCCTAGGTAGTAGTAGTATCTCTTGTGTGTGTTTTTTTAGGTTTTTGTTGTTGTTGTTGTTTTTTACAGATGAAGAAACCGAACTATATTTTCTTAGGCAACATAACTAACCAACTTTGCACTGGGGTTTTGTCTAGGTCTCCCAGTTACAAATAAAATCCCACTATGACTTGAAATGAATTAACCTCATTCCCATCCCTTTGCTCCCTTTCAATACTGCTGATCGCCAGTTATCAGAATATCAAACCACATTAATATGGCTTATGACTTCCGCATGTTTTCATAGCTTTCTGGGTGGTTTGTTTAATTTTTCTTTTCTCATGTGCCCTATTGTCCTAATTTTCATTTGCATTGTTCCCTTTTCTTTCGATTCCTAATTCCTCCTCCCTCTGAAAGTTTGCTAACGAGTGGGTAAGTGCATTTTCTTTCCGGAGAGCCGTGCTTGGCATTGTTGTTTTCCATTGAGGAAATGTGGAATAACTCAATGGATATTGAGATGCTCTAATAAATGTCAAGGAGCTGGCATACAGCGCTTTCTGTTGAAATCGCGTTTTCTTTCCTCCTGGCATGTGCAGCAGATTTTGTTTGTGTGGGGTTTGTTTTTGCATTACTATTTAAATTTAATAACCGACAGCAGCAGTTAGAGAATTTGAAAAACTTAGTAGCAGTCTCATTAGTGCTCTAAGCCTGGGTCTGCTTGCCCATCATGGAGAAGACGAGTGGCAGCCACCAGGGTTGAGAAAGAGGCGCTGCCCGGGCGCTGAGTCAACACACTGAGGTGGAATGAGGGGCGCTGAGGCATTCACCCCAAAGAGCCAAAGGTCTTAGAACAGTTTTTGCAAAATCACGCACAGTGTGTTGGTCAAATTCCCTTCGGAAGGGTGTACTTCCTAAGCCACAGCTCCCAGCAGTTTCCCAAAGATAATTTTCGTCCCTGTATTAAATTGTTGTGGTATCGGGCTTTTTACGACCCAGATCAACACGCTGCTGGGCTGTGAAGCCGCCCATGCCAGCTTTTGTAAATGCCTGTGTGTCTCTTCACATATCGAAGCAATTGAACGCTTTGGGTGAGGAGCAATGTGCCTGGTAATTTTTTTTAAGAGCTTCGAGTCTCTCCTCATCAAAGACACAGGGTCAGAATCTGGCAGCTGCTTCCAGGACTGTGGAGAGGGACGGGGCGGGCAGGCCAGGCTTTAGGTATAAATTGCGTTTTCTAAAAATGACCGACGGATGCCATGCCATCACCTCCCAAACATGCTAATATTTGTCTTTCTGTGTTCTTCAGCATCAATACCATTCAAAAATAGACGAACTAATTGAAGAAACTGTTAAAGAAATGATAACACTCTTGGTGGCAAAGGTAATCTTCCGTTTCAGGTGAAATGTTTCGTTGTGAGCATTGCTGTGTTATGTCTGCATTCCCATTAAAATGTCACACGTCAAAAAGTTGAGCCGGGCACTTATATTTCTCAGGAAACAGGATTGCGCCTCACCCAGCCGCAGCGACGAGTGATTTTTCTGATGACTGCGAGCCGAGTGAGGATGAAGCGATGAAGTGGCATATGTTAACTTAATAAGAATTTGTCCCCCAACGCTGCACTAGGTTATGCAGGAAATGTTTGTTTTGTTTTTCAGCATTGACAAAGTTAGGTTTTTAAATACAGAAAGTTGAACGGTAATAAGGAATTCTGCCATCGTAGGAACCCCCTTCCCCCTAGTTTCACATGCAGTGAGAGTCATAATAAAGCAGAAAAGTCAGATAAAGCTATTTCAGTCACCCTCATGAATTCTAGAATTTTAACTAAGTAATGTTGAATGGGAAGACATTTATATTTGCCAGTGCTAAACTTCTGTTTCCCCCAAATTACTGATAAAATACAAATAAAAATAGATTGGATTAAATGTAGTGCTAATATGTAACATAAAGACGGCTTTGCGCAGTTTGGGATTTTGAAAAGTGCATTTAATATTATCGCATGCTATATGCAACGCAATAATATTTTGTCACTTTGCACTTCTGGAGCACTCTCTATTTGCAATCACATAATAATGAAGAGAAAGCCGGATAAGTCAAATATTTCTGTGTCGAGGCGTCTACTCCTCTCCCCGCAGGCTGCGATCACATAATAGAAGGCGAACGTGAGCAGAGGCTCCGGGCTGGTTGGAAATGTTGCTCTTTCTCGTGAGCAGTTCTACTCTGGAACACTAATTCTTTTTTCTCTTTTGCGGTTTTTCTAGTTTGTTACTATCTTGGAAGGAGTGTTGGCAAAATTATCCAGATATGACGAAGGGACCTTGTTTTCTTCTTTCTTGTCATTCACCGTAAGTAAAGAGGTTTACATCATCTTCTTAAGGAAACATGGAATGCTTCCGATGGGTAAAATGAGCTGGTGAATGTCAAGAAGCTGTCATGAGGAGGGTGCTGCTGTGGCATTTGGTTTGGATTTGTGTGTGTGTGTGTGTGTGTGTGTGTGTGTGTGTGTGTTACTGCTGATAACACCGGGAGAAGGAGCAGGGCACTTCCTAGCAGCCGCCACACCGCTTCTGTTTCATTTGTGAATATGCACTATGTGCACACTTGTATGCCTCTATATATTTGTATCCAAGGAGAGTTGGTGGACTGAGCCCTCCTTAGCTTCTTAGGTGAAAACATTTACTGTTTCTGAGCTACCATTTCCTCGTCTGTGAATTAATTTTAGGGGTTGCAAATGGAGACCTCCGGGTCGGAGAGAGCTTGGAAATACGTTTTATTTGGTCCTCGCCGTGTCGGGTACACTTTCCTTAACTGAATTAGTTTCCCGCATTTAAAAATCAGAAGAATTCACATAGAGCAGCCTGAATCCCAGGACTCTATGAAGTGACGGTCAGCAGCTTTACGAAGGCCTGTCTGTGGGCACAGCAGCCGTCTGCAGGGCTCAGTCACAGTGTCTCACAGTCCAGCCGTTTTCGCCAGTTTCCTCGAGCCCCCTCCGGGCTGTCCTGCTCATTCATAGACCTGCCGGGGCTTGGGGACACTTGAGTTTACACCCCTGGCACACATGATCGAGTCTGTACAAATCCGAGAGGCTCTAAGTCTGTGCCAGAATCGGGCATGGCCATAGAAGTTAGGTGGTGGGCAGAGGCCAGGCTAATTCTCTGGAGGTGAGTGGGGCGGGTGGCTGTAAGCGGGCTGCTCCAGGGCCTGTTCTCCTTCCCTTGCTGTGCTAGGCGGGCACTGCAGCTGCAGGCCTTTTGCCATCTCTGATGGCAGGGGTCTTGCTGGCCCTGGGACCAGCTGTTACCCTCTGACAATGCCATAGGAAAGGCCATTTAGGACCCACTATCTTTGAGTCTTTGAAAGAGACTTCATTTATGAAGAATTTCCTAAAAGGGCCTTGAATGCCAAGGCAAGGCCCAGCACGGGATAGAGGGTAGCACATCATCATCTTTGGAATCCAATAAAATCGGGTTCAAATCCCATTACCAATACCGACCAGCTGTGTGGTCTTGAGTAGGTGCCTCATCCTTCCTGAGCCTCATCCTCCTGAGGTTGGTTTTGGTTTTGGTTTTGGTTTTAGGGAGGTGTGCTGTTGTATCATTTTTCTGTGTGTGTGTGTGTGTGTGTGTGTGTGTGTGTGTTAATTGCAGTTAATATCAATATTGTGTGGAAGTAGGGAGTAAATAACGTCTTCTACAATGAGCTTCTTTGAGGATAATAATATAAGTGAAAGAGCTTAGCATAGTCCTAGCACACAGTAGGTCTCAAAAAATAGCAACTATTATTAATAAAAGATATCTAACATGTTTATTATATAACACAGACATACATACACACAAGTTCTTTCCAAACATGCCCTTCTTTGGTCTTTCCTTAACCCATACATTAGATTTCATGGGAATTAAAGGAAATGTAGACAGAAAACATCTAAAACAATTCTAGACAGCATCCACCCATCTGCATGCCCATCTTGATTTGATATGCAGCTCTGACCTTCCGAGGTGTAAGAATTGAACTCAATCCCAGAAAGCGTGATGACCCCAGTCCCAGGAATTTATTGGCAAAGGTGGGGTGGGAAGAGAGTGGTGACAAAAGGAATTGTATCTGATTTCACTCTGTAGAACTACCCATAATGTGTCACAGCTGAAAGAAAACCTACCCAACCCACTCCTTTAACAAACAAAGAAACCAAGGCCCAGAGAGGGGGAGTACTTTGTCTAAGGTCACACAGCAATGGGCAGCATGGGAACAGGAACCCAGGTTTCTGCCAGCTTCCCCCCACCACCGAACAGCTTCCTGAAGAGAGTGGGATTCAGCTGGCACTTGCCCGGCACTAGAAGGCAGATGGGCAACTGAGTGGGGAAGATGCATGAGGAAGGATTCAGGGCTCACGAGTGGGAAATAGTAGATAATCTTTCATGCCTTGGTGAAGTCATGGAAATGGTGAAAGAGGCAGAATGAAAGGCAGCACTTCTGGAAGATGTTCCCCTGACTCCCACGGAAGACATCACTTTCTCGGAGCCTTTATTTTGAGCGGTGGTTTTGACTGCACCCGCCTTGACCCTGAAAGCTCCTCTGCCGCTCCCTGGGCGGCATCCCATCCACCAGAGGCCCCTCCCGAATGACGGCCTTTGCAGGAGGACCAGTAAAAGGGGTCCCGTGGCAGCGCTGCCAAGGGCCTGGCACCAGGGAGATTCTCACGGGAGCGTCTGAAACAAAGAAGACCTCACAGAACTTGCAGGAGTGTCCCAGCCGGAATTGTCACCCTCTCCTCTCCCTTTTCTGAGACGTGTTGCAGCCACACAGCCTGCCTCCTGGAGGCCCCGCCACTGCAGGACCCTCCCTGCCTGTGCTGGCTGTACCTGCCCTTCCTCGGTGACTCTTCTCCCACACACGTGGCCACCCCCAGGCCAGAGGCACCCACTTATTGTTCGCTGCGCGTGTTCTCATCTCCTGTGGATTCCCGTGTTGGAGACCGAGCTGTGCTTAGAGGCGGCAGGAACATCTCCGCGCGTGGATTCTGAGCTCCTGCCCAAATCTGAGAGGCCCCTGGAGCCTGCCTGCAGCCCAGCCGCGCTGATTACCGGGAGGAGCGCAGGGCACAGGGAGCAGGGCAACGGGTGTCGTGGGAAGAGCCATCAAGGCCGAGAGAACCAGGAGTCCTGGGCCTTGGACAAAGGCGGAGCCAGAGGGTGCCACCCTGGCAGGACCCCCTCCCTGGCTCCCACTTCGGATCTGCTCTGCAAGTATTACTGCGCACTTACCACGTCCCCACCCAGCGGGCTGCCAAGGATGAGCCATGTGCTCTGCCCCCCAGAAAGCTGACAAGTATCGACAAATATGCCACCCTTTCCCCCTCTTTCTCCCGCCGAGCGCCTCCTTTCCTGGGCTTGGTTTCGTGGTCCAAGCCAGACATTTTGGAAACTGCAGTGGCACAGAGCAGGCAGGAATATTTATTTCTCATCTCCATCTGCATTGCTTCCTCTCTTGGAGAGGAGCTGGGGGGAGGAGGGGAGGAGATGGGGCTTCTGGTGCCAGCCCCGCGCCCAGGCGCCCGCCCCTCCTCCCTCCCGGCTCCCTCCCTCGGCAGCGGCAGCAGCCCGGCATTTAGGGAGGCAGGCGCCTTTGGAACTTGGGAAAGATCAGCCCAGTTGGAAGTCGCAATTAGCAACTATCCGCCCATTTCCCCTGCCTGCAAGATGTGCTTTTGTGTGGGCTGCCTGCCGGCAGGAGTCCTGCCTGTAGGTAGCTTCACGCTGTTCTTTTAGGAGGCCAGCAAGGAGGACAAGCAGGTGCCAGGGGCCCTCTCCCAGCGAGTTCACGTCCTTTGCAGGGTGTCTCCAGGCCTTAGCGAATATGCTGGTTCGCTCGTTCATTCGTTCATTCATTCACTTGTTCACCCACCCGGCATGTTGACTGAGCACCTCTGCGTCAGGCATCGTGCCAGGAGCCGGGGACACATGTTCTCTGTCCTTCTGGAGCTTACACTCGGGAAAGGAGACAGACACTAAGAAAGGAAAGGAAACTGTAGAATAGGGAAGTGCATACACCACATACTGGAAAGAGAGGGAGAAAGAGACGGAAGGTCGGGAATGGTGTCAATTCAGCTAGGATGGTGGTTGACGGGCACTGAGCTGAAACGTATAGGGCAGCCACGGATAGGGGCGGCCACGAGGTAGGGGCAGCCATGGGGTAGGGGCGGCCGTGGGTAAAGAAGAGGAGAATTTTCTGGGCAGAAAGCCTGTGATGGCTTCGAGGCAGGGAGGCAGGCGGGATTTTTCTAGATACTATGGCAGTAAGAGAAACAGGATTTAGGGTTGAGCAGATGGAGGTGGGCCAAGGTGGAAGGCAGGGAGCTGTGATGCCCGAGGAGCTGGCTGCACGAATGAGTCCTGAGAGTCAGTGGGCACAGTAACAAGCCCGGAGTGGGGAGGCCTGGGAACCCCAGCTCCACCCTTACCAGGGAGCTCTGTGACCTGGGCTAGGAGACCCAGGCCGGGCTTTTCATTCCCTTCCGTGTATTCTGACACCAGTGGTATGAGATGAATTCCAGAGTCTGAAATAGCTACGAGAGCTTAAGCACTTGTTAAGTGCCTGGCACAGGGCTAGATGCTTTCATAGATTTTCCTCGTGAATCCCCTGAACAATGCCATTCTGGAACAGTCTTCCACAGAGGATCAAACTGAGGCTCAGAGAGGGAAGCCCTCCAGCTTGACTGGCATCTGCCCTTCCTCCCAACATTGCAGCCTCCAAGGAGGAGTGAAGATGTGGGAGGAGCCCTCCCCCCAACAGAACAATTACATCCACTCCTCTGAAGCCCCCTAGAGTTCACCCAAGATCCCCCATCCACCAAATTCGTTTGAGGTGGTCATCCTATAACATGGAAGCCCCTTGGGACAGGACCCAGAACGTCCACTTTAGAGATGTCAGGGACCAAACCCCACTATATGTCCAATCTGCTAAGTCTCAACTTACCCTCATTCATACTTTATCCCTTTTTCAAGCATTTTTTTGCCACTTAGAAACAAAACAAAGTAGATGTGCTTCTTGCTAGAATCCACAAAGGGCTGGTGTTAGCATAGATCCACCAGCAGCCTGGACTGCTTTTGTGCAGGCGTCTCGATGTCACACCACAGAACAAGACTGCCACCTGGTCAAAGCCAGAACTGGACCAAGGAAATGCGCTTCTGTCTACAGAACATTTTGGTTGGGAAGCAGTTCAGATTTTAGTGTGGGTGAGTGTTCACAATAGTTTGTTAGTGTTGTCTTCAATGGCATCCACTTTTGCTTTGGGTTTGGGGGATTCCCTGCCTGGGAGAGATGGCTGTTTGCACTGTGGGCTGGT